GATTTGACACTCACCAGCAATGATAATGGCGATGATGACGGTGAGGCGGCGACAATAGATACAGATCTGAGATTTGAGATCGATTTCTTTGCAATGTTTGTGAGTGTTGTAGATCTTCTTCTTCTTCTCTCTCTCTTTGTGTTGGATCTTAGATTTGAGTTTGTGTCTCAGACGATCTCAGATCTGAGTTCATCCTCTCTACACCATTTTTAAACTATGAACCGCTGTTCGGGTCAAATGGGTCAACGGTTCAACCACCCGGGTCAGTGGTTTTCTAATGAAGTCAATGAATTTTGACCCAGGAACAGGTTAGGGGTGAAACAGAACCGATTGCTTAGATGGTTTCTGGCCGAATGGTCTGACCATCTGGGTCAATGATGGTTCAAAAACATTGCATAAATAGTCCGATTGGACATTTATATAAAAACAAACGCAGCCTTATTCTCAACATGGTATAGGCCTCGTCAATTGAATGTGACAAGAGATTCTTGTAAACACAAATTGAAAGCTAAAAAAATATGTGGGAAAATATATAGTTTTTCATGGAATAAAACATATCGTTTCTTATTTCCAAGGTGTCACCACTATGAGAGGTCATCAGGTCAAATTGATTTGGTAGGAAAATGGCATACTGCAACAATAGTATAATAATGTATCACTAGCGGAGGGCCCTGCTTCGTAGGTGCGGGAATAGAATTGCACATTAAAAAAGACAATGGTTTCTTAATAAGAAACTTGCAATTATAACTACTCAAGTCTTGAAACTTATATAAAGATTTAAAAGAGAGCATCATATGCTTGATTTTTAAATATTGCTTCAGTAGAGATTCTCATATAAAAGAACACAATCATACAGTGATTGTTCTGAGTTCTACTTTATAGTTATTCTTTGTCTCACATCGAGAACACCCAGTTGACTCGGACGGTAAGATCATTCGACCCGGAAACCATCTAGGCAACCGGTTCCATTTTACCCCAAACCCGGTCCCTCGCCAAAAATCATTGAATCTGTCAATGACCCGATGACTCGGGCGGTCGACCCGTTCAATGGTTTTTTGCCAATTTTTTTTTTACTTTTTTTATTTTTAATTTTTGTTGTCAAAATGGGCCATCTATTCGAACCAAATGGTCAAACTATCAACCTAGAAACCAGTGGCTAGAACAGTTCCATTTTCAGTCATTTTTTCTATATGTCAATAATTAGACGAAATAACTTTGTAGTCATAGTCATGGAAAGGGGTGGCCATTGCAAGGGATTTAGAAATCTTGAAAGATAAATCCAAAGTGACCTTAAACACAAAAATATTGGCAGTAAATCCACCAAACTAGAAAAACCAAGGAAAAAAAAATCGAGTCCAAAGTTTCACTTTAAGATAGAGCTAAAAATACATGCAATCAAAAAGCAGATTGTCTTCTAAGAAAATAAGAAAAAAAACATTGCACAAGAAAACCCAAAGAGAAACCAAAAGGGAAGAAATAAAATGGTGGTAAACCTTAAACCGTTTTGGAGGATCTTAAGAAGAAGGCCAAATACAATAAAAAAAAGTAGAAAATGAAAAAAAAAGGAACATACTGCACACACTTTGATAAAGCCCATAGTAGAAGAAACATTTGAATAGTGAAAACCCAAAAGCATAAAAACCATGATTTTTGAACCGTCATTGACACGAATAGACGGACATTTTGGCCCAGGAACCGTCCAAGCAATTGGTTCCGTTTTACCCCAATCCCGGTCCCTAGCCAAAAACCGTTGAATCGGTCAATGACCCATTGACCTAGGTGGTCAAACCATCAACCCGTTGACCCATTCAATGGCTTTGGTCCTTTTTTTATTTTTTTAATTGGGAACCGTCCAGGCAACCAGTTCCATTTTATCCTAATCCTGATCCCTATGAATCGGTCAATGACCCATTGACCCGAGCAGTTGAACCATCGACCTATTTAATGGTTTTTGGTCATTTTTTTTTTAATTTTTGCTGTCAGAACGAGTTGCCCGTTCGAACCGAACAGTCAAACCATCAACCCAAAAACTAATGGCCAAAACGATTTTGTTTTCGGGTCATATAAGTCACACTCTCAAATGACATAACACGAATGGTATTGCTTAATTGACCTCACTCACTCAATTTTTTGTCTGTAATTTTTGTTGTTAGAACGGGCCGTTATTTTTTTTTTTTAATTGAAAAGCGTCCAGGCAACTGGTTCCATTTTACTCCAATCCCGGTTCCTGGAAAAAAACCGTTGAATCGGTCAATGATCCATTGACCCGAATGCTCGAACCATCAACCCATTGACTCGTTCAATGGTTTCTGGTTGTTTATTTATTTATTTTTTAATTTTTGTTGTCAGAACGGGTCATCCGTTCGAATCGGATGGTTGAATCGTTGACTCAAAAACTGGTGGGTAGAACAGTTCCATTTTTGGGTTGTATGAGTCACACGCTCTTATGACATAACACATATGATATTGCTTAATGGACCTCACACACTCAATTGTTTGCTTATAATATTTGTTGTCAGAACGGACCATCCGTTCAAATCAGATGGTTGAACCGTTGACTTGAAAACCAGGGGCCAAAACGGTTATGTAATTCTTTGCTTGTAATTTTTGTTGTCATAATGGGCCATCCTTTCGAACCGAACAGTCGAACCGTCAACCTGAAAATCAGTGGCCAGAATAGTTCCGTTTTTGGGTCGTATGAGTCACACACTCGACTGCTTAATGGACCTCACATACTCAATCTTTTACTTGTAATTTTTGTTGTCAGAATGGGTTGTTTGTTCGAACCAGATGATCGAACCATCGACCCGAAAATCGGTGGCCAAAATGGTTTCGTAATTTTTTTGCTTATAATTTTTGTTGTTAGAACGAGCCATTCATTCAAACCAAACAATTGAACCTTATGTTTCAATGAAGAAGAAGGGAAGAAGAAGGGAGAGGAGGAGGATGATTCGACATTCACCAGAAATAATAATGGCAACAGCGGTGGCAAGGCAACGGCAACATACGCAGATCTGAGAACTAAGATCTGAATTCTCAGATCTCAGATCTGAAATCGATTTCTTTGCAATGTCAGTAAGCGTTGGAGATTTTCTCTCTCTCTTTGTGTTGGATCTCATACATGAGTTCTTGTCTCAGGTCAAATTGATTTGGTAGGAAAATGGCATACTGCAACAATATTATAATAATGCTTTTCTCATTTGTCCCCTCACAAGTTTTTTTTTTTTTCTTTCTTCTTCCGATGCAAGTTATTAAAATAATGAAAATAGTTTGTTAGATCATGACTGCATTATGTACATTTATATTAAGCAGTTATGAGTTATGACGGAGAAGAAAATAAATAAAGCTAATTACAAGTACAACAGGACACGAAAACAGTGTAGAAAAGCATGGATCCCCCAAAACTCTTAATTACAATTGGCTGCAGTCTGCAATATTCGTACTGCATATGTTGAATAAGTATTAATTAATAGTGTTCTCTGGATAATAAAAGAAAAAGAATCTCGTGATTAAAAGATTTTTTTAGCTAGCCGTAGTGGTTGAGCATTTGTATCTCGGAAAAACTATCGGAGTAGTTTCATATTACAGTCTTATTACTCGTGACTGGAACACAGTGGCACCCATTCCGAATTTTCATCAAATATAATTTTGGGAGAATGATGGTTTAGCTTAAGGTCAGAAATTTTAGGTTCAAAACACATTTAAAGTAGGTGTTAGCTTGGATTTGATGTCAATTCACAATTCACAGATGAATATGGATGCATAAAATGTGAATTTTTGACATTTTGAATATTTATAAATTTGTAATTGAATTCAAAAATCTGTATTAAGCCTATTCGTATTTTTCCGTATAATTTTTGAGATTTATCAAAATTAAATGTCAGAAGCCGCATCCTGAAAGCCCTCTTCCTAGCCTGCTGACTATCATCCCCTTGAATAGTAATTGGAAGGAATGTTTAAGACCAACTGAATCAACTAGTTGCATGTAAATTTCCGATGCACTTGCACACATGCATAGGAAAGATCGAGAGTAGCAAGCAGATAGATTCGGTTTTAACCAAATCAACCAAAGCAATCGAAAGAAAAAATTTTGGTTCGGTTTGTTCAGTTTTTGTAAAATTGGGTTTCAGTTCAGTTTCTTAAATAGATATATCGGTTTTTAAAAATTTGATTTATTTGATTTAATTTTTAATAGATATATCGGTTTTTGAATGTCCTAGATGAACCATTGAAACTTTTTTGCTTAATTTTGAGATGAATTAATCCACCATATAACTGCCATCCTTTGGCAATTTATCTCAGGAGCTTTAATAAATCCATCCAAATAGGGCAGACATTACGTACAAAGACATACATGGTATAACTATAGATTGCCATGGCAACTAGAAAGAAATAAAAAAGGGAAAGGGTGTCATTGGAATTGAAAAATGTATGAGGTGGAACTCTCCACCAGTCAGACACATTTATGGAGAGAAAGAGAATGGAAACCTTTCCTCAGTCAAATTGTAAGCACATGAATGGACTAGTTTGAAAATAACATGATATATGTATATATATATATATATACTAAAAATCAATTACTTTGAACTATTGTATAATATTATAAATCAAGTTGGTATAAACAGGGGTTGGACTATACACGGGAAAGATATGATATTTAAAAATCATGTCTTTTTGTTCTGTATCATAGATTTTCCCTATAAAATAGTATATTAAAAAAATGAAAAAATAAAAAAAAAAATCACCAACGGTCAAGATCGGCTACTTTAATTTGCCACATGAGCTAAGAAACCCAAATTTCTAACTACAAGTTCCAACCACCCAACTTATGTTGACATCATGGACGTAGAAAGTCAGCAATCAACAAGCTTCAAATCTGACTACAACGACTTTGGTGATTAAAGAATGTTTAATTACTCAACTGTCCACTACAAAACCCATGTATAAATAAGGGCAGAGGGCGAGCAAAAGGAAACATAGAAAGCTAGATACTATGGAACTTCAACTTGCATCTGTTACGATGTTGTTTCCATTTGCCTTGTTTGGTTTCTTTAGCTTGTTTTTGCATCTTTACAGGGTTCTTTGGTTAAAGCAACAATTGCTTCGATCTAGGCTCCACAAGCAAGGGATAAGAGGTCCTCCCCCTACCTTTGTCTTTGGGAATGGTCTAGAGATCAAGAGGATACAAAATTCCAAATCAACAGCAGTTAAGACTTCCAACAAGGAAAACCTATCACATGATTTTGCTTCTACTCTCTTCCCTTGCTTTGAGAAGTGGAGAAAGGAATATGGTATGTGTATATTATGAGTTTACATCTCTGCCCCACAAGGAGCCATCCCACAATGCCCCACAGTACATCCCTATCGTGTATTGGCCCTATGATAATATCAGAACAGATGATGTTATCATCGGGAGATGTTTTCAATACACGGTGGGAATGTGCTATAAGGCGTTGTAGGGCGGCCCCTTGTGCGGCGTAAATGTGATCTCGTATATTATGCTTTGTAATCAATTACTACAATAGTTCATCATTGTCAAGACAACGCCTAATGGCAAAGCACCCTTGAGTGATGGGAGTTCATATTTGCTCCTCCTACAGCGCTCCCCACACCAGTCTTACAGCATGTGGAGCCGTGCACATCTGGAACATCTCCTTACCATTCATGGAGAGATGTTCCTGCACCACGGCTGCAACGTGCTGTCAGGTTGGTGTGAGGCACTCTGCTGTAAGGAGCAAATCTGACCAAATTCGAGGGGTGTGGACTTTCTCTAGCTAGCACTTACATTTTTTTGTACAAGGGGCCACATAATATTTTTTATATTTTTAGTTTATGATAATGTTAATATAATACAGTAGATATTATTAAACTAAATTTTTCATTTTTGGATTTATATATATATATATATATATGAAATCTTATACTAGTTTTTATACTAATTTTCTTTATATTATTTTCTTATTTGTTTTGGTTCAAACAACACACAAGTTGGTGGATGCCTTGTTGAATCAAAGTCTCAGCCCCTATATTTTCATGAGAATTTATTAGCAATATAATTATCGGTTGAACATACCACTGATTGTTGTAAACGAAACAAAGGAAAACACCTTAGGCTGAGTTTGGAAGGAGTACAAATGTAAATATGTACAGTGTAAATACATACAAAATATAAGGTTTTGCACTCTACATATTTGCATTTGCACTCCTTCCAAACTCAGCCTAATAGGATTTATATATATTTTCTATTAAAAAAAAAAAAACTCATCATCACCTAGGGCTAGCCCCCTCCCCTCTGTTACCTAACATTGCCTTCATTCTTTGGAAACTATATGATGGGCTTGAGGATGAAACCCAATCAAATTAACCACTGATCATTTAGAGTTCTGATCAATCATCAATTGATCATAAAGATTCCTTTGTAATTTTTTTTTCTTTCTTTCTAAGCTGGTATTTACTAAATAATAAATAGTTAATCAACTGTGATTATATACAGGCGACTTGTTCACGTTTTCCCTTGGCAATCTTCAAATACTGTACGTGACAAACCCTAATATGGCCAAGGAAATGACCCTTTGTGCATCCATGGGATTGGGGAAGTCTGGATACCTACAATATGAATTTGGTCCTTTGCTTGGGAGGGGCATTTTGACATCAAATGGGGCAATCTGGTCTCACCAAAGGAAAACCATAGCTCCAGAGTTATCCATGGATAAGGTTAAGGTACGTAATTATATTTTTACTCATATATATTTCATAAATTAATGCATGGCTAATCTCTCTCTCTTTATCTATTTTCTTCACGTAATTATTTATCTATTTTCTTCATTTTTTATACTTTTCTTATTTTCTTTTATTTTAAAAATATAAACAGTAGTCATTGTTTATCTTGATTAGATTAATAAAGTTGTATACAATTAGAGAGAGACCTTTGGATTTTTCAAGGCCTCTTATTTTAATGCATGTTATTATTACATTTAAAAAAGACATTTAAGAGAGAGAGAAAGAGAGAGAGAGAGTAGTAATAAATAAAATAAATAGGTTGAGGTTAAACAATAAAAAAATTATTAATTTAAAAATCCACTAAACTTTGACTAAAAATAAATATTAACATAACTTAATAAATATTAAAAACATGTTTCAAATTCACTTAAAAGTCAAACTTAATAAACTCTAACAAAAATAAGAAATTTAAATATAAAAATATTAATTGATAGTTTTCATAATATTATTAGATAACTTACGAGTTGAGAGTTGAGACATTTGTTGTGCATAATGGACTCACTAAAAATGATAAAAATTAATGAAAATTTAATTAATTAAAAATCTGGAAAATTCTGAAAAAACTAAACATAATTAAAATATTAAAAATAATTAAAAAATATTGAAAATTAACAATATTTTATATTAATAAAGGTATTTATTGAAAATAATTAAAAAGTACAATTAATAGTATTTTATTATTAAAAATACAAAAAAAATATTACAAAATACCCAAGCCAGAAATTATTAAAAAATATTAAAAATTAGCTCTATTTTTTATTAACTATGGTATTTATTTAGTTATTTAATTTATTTTTACTGAAAGCAAATGCAAATTAATTTTTTAGTGACTAATATGAAAAAATAAATGTTGAAAATACTGAAAATTAGTGAAAATACTCATATGCAAAAATTATTCAATAATAATGAAAAAACACCAAAAAATAATTAAAAATCCAAAAATTTTGAAAAACCTAAAGCTTAATTAAAATACTAAAAATAATTAAAAAATTAAATTAATTTTATTTTATTGCAAAAAAATAATGAATAATAATGAAAAATTAATGTATTTTAATTATTAATAGTAATATAATTAACGATAATTATTTTTAAACTGTAATTAATATTAATTATAATTTAAGCTAACATTTAATTAGTAATTTAATAATTATAATATTTTAATAATCAATAATAAAAAATAACAAATTGTTTATAACTGAACTTAACCCGATTAGATCTATAAATTTGTAGGCTCAAGCAACTATTTTCTTTTGAGTTAGGTCTAGTTGAGATAAGCACCATGCTCACACATTATCAGGGATAATCAAATTCGAAGTCCAATTGGGTATCAAACTTTTAAAGTCCAATGATGACTTTAGCAGATAATGCCCAAGCTAAACAACTCCTAATAAGTTGAACTTGTAATTTATATGCATATATGGTAAATATTACTATATAATATTTAAATAACAAAATTTATATTAATATATATAGAAATGTTATATGTTTTTTACACTAAACTAGAATTAAATAAAAAATTTAATTTGTAAAAAAATCATATTTTTTAATTAACATGGACCTCTTCATTAACAAAAAAATGTGCAAGCCCAAAGCCCGATCTGTATACAAAATGTCTCATTTTTAGTATAATTTTTTAAAATAATATTATATTAATTTAGTAATAATTTAATAAATTAATAAAATAATTTATATTTCCTAATAGTATATTGATATTTATTAATAATTTAAGAAGCATATATATATATATATATATATATTACATTTATTATATACAACATAAGTACTTTTATATATATATATATATATGTATATATATAATAGTATTGAGTCGGGCTTATTTGAGAAAGCCCAAGCTCGAGCCCACGGGCCTAAAATTTTGTCCAAGGCTGAAAAATAATGAGTCAGGTCGGGTTGGACCGTCGGGCTACCCGACCCATGAATAGGTCTAATTGTATATATAAACAATTGTATACATTAGAAATCATACGAAATAAAAATTTAAACATCTTTTTAATTTTTTTTTAAATGGACCTCTCATAGATTGGCTCGGTCTACGGCCTAGCTTGGCCCAATGCTCGACCCATGGACTAGTCCGGCCCACGGCATAGCATGGCATGGGCCCATACAGGCTCGGGACATGGGTCATTCCTAACCAACCCCCCAAATTATCCCAAGGGAGGGAAGCACGGCCCAGGATGCCCAGAGGGCCAGCATGGCTCGGGACACCCCAAGGATCAGCATGGCATGGCCGGCACTTTGTGCTGGTAGCATACGGGTTGTGTTGTGTCGGCCCAGCACAACCCGATTTAAACCTCTACTTGAACCTGCCCAATATTGGGGACAGGGCAGGGAAATTCAAGGATTCCCCATCCTTGTTGAGGAGTGAGGTGCTTTGCCCCTAAACTCGCTTGACATTGAGGAGTGGTTTCCTTGCCCTGGACCCACCTGACACCGGCGACTAGGCATGGATGGAGTAGAGTGTCTTAACTATGGGGTAGGGACAAGAATGGGGTGCCCTGCCCTGAACCCACCCTACTGTCATTCCTATATAATTGTTAATTATTAGTGAAATTAATAAAAATGTTAGTTTTTGTAATTATTTTTGTTTATTTAAAATTAATCAAAATTTCATTTAAAATTAATAAAAATAATAACAAATATTAAAATTACTACAAATTCTTAATAAAACTAAATTTATTAAAAATATTTGTTCATATTAAATTAACAGTAATTATTTTCTGTAAATCAACATTAAATGAAAAATACAATTATAGAAATTTTAGATGTTAACAATAACTTTGAATACTTTTTGGTTATTAATTTAATATTAATTAATAATAAATAAAATTATTAAAATTTTCAGATTTTCCCAGGCATAGCACGGGTCCGCTAGTTACATACAAAACTGGAAGAGTCGTTGTCTGAGTCAATTTGAGTCCAAGGATATTATTATTGCCATTAATGAAAACCCATATCAATATTGCAGGGCATGGTGAACTTAATGGTGGAGTCTGCAAGCTCAATAGTGAAGACATGGCAAGGGAGAATTGAAAGTGAAGGAGGAGTTGCAGAGATAAGAGCTGATGAGGACATGAGACGCACTTCTGCACTTATAATCTCCAAAGTTTTGTTTGGCAGCAGTTTCACCAAAGCCCTTGATCTAATTTCAAAGTTCAAAGATATTCAAAATGCCTTGACTATGCCAACCATGCTCAAAGGACTTCCTGGCTATAGGTATGTCTTCTCTCTCTCTCTCTCTTGGGTGTTGTTTTATTGAGAAGATCACACATAATGGTATTTACTTATATTGGAAAATTGATACTGTGTTTAGATACATTCCGAGTGAGAATAACAGAAAAATATGGAAGCTGGAGAAAGAGGTCCGTTCAGCGATTCTAAAGATTGTAAAGGAACGTAGTACAGAAAATGAAAATGATAAAGGTGATGAGCAAGATCTATTACAGATGATTATTGAGGGTGCAAAGGATGGTAATCTTGGTCCATACACAGCACAAGACTACGTCCTTGACAATTGCAAGAACATCTACTTTGCTGGGCTTGAAACTACTGCAATTTCAGCCTTGTGGTGCTTGATCCTACTGGCTTCTCATCCTCAATGGCAAGACCGCTGTCGTGCCGAGATACTAGAAATTTGTGGGGGAGGCCTACCTGATGTAGATATGCTTCGCAAGATGAAAACGGTATGTTATGTATGTTAATTTGTGGGGGAGGCATTTTGATCACAACAATCGCATTCATTTGCCGCACAGTAAATGACATGGTTTTTAAAACCGAACCGGTCAACGGTCCGGTTACCAGTTTGACCCGAACGGTTTGTCCATTCTAACAAAAAAATAAAAAACGGACAAAACCATTTCGAATGGTTAACCGTCCGGGTCAGCAGTTTGCTGACCAAAATCAACGATTTTTTGAGAAATCCCGGTCTTGGGGGAAAACGAAACCGGTCACCTAACCGATTCTCGGTTTTTCCAGTCTGACTGTCTGGTCCGGTCCGATTTTGAAACCCATGGTAAATGAGTATACCTGAAAGTAAGTGTCAATGTACCGGTTTTAGATTGGACCCCATCCAAACCAAAACCAAATGGGACAGACCAACAAGACATTGAATTGGACCAATCCAGATTTAATAATCCAAAGTATTTATTAGATTGGATTGGACCTGGTCCCTCCACTCATGTAAAATAAGAATATAGGTGTCAACAGACTGGGTTTGGATTGAAACAAATCTAAATAAAGACGAATTTGAGTAGATTGGACAGTCCAGATATTGAATTAGATCAATCCAAAATGGTCCAAAATATTCAATGGATTGGATTAGACCTGATCCATTTGTAATGGATTCACATTAAATTGGATTGGATTACACCGAATGTAGTCCAATTGACACCCCTAATGCAAAGTGGGTAAATAACTTATTTGCATCTTAATTTGTTGAAGTCGATAAGCATTCTCTCTCTACAAGCTAGAATAGGTTTACCCGAAAAACACTTGCTTGGATAAACATATTTACCCAAGTAAAAATGAACAAGGCCAATGAAATAATTGAGTCATTACTTTATATCCACAATAGAAATTAATTTTAGTGTACTCTACTACATCTTCCAATGATGCATTGATGCATGGCATGGCAGACAACAATGGTAGTTCAAGAGGTGTTGCGGCTGTATCCACCAGGCTTGTTCATGTCCAGAGAAGCTCTGCAAGATATCAAGTTGGGAGAACTTCTTGTGCCTAAAGGCGTCAACATTTGGCTCTCGGTTCATGCATTACACCGAGACCCTGAACTTTGGGGACCTGATGCCTGCAATTTTAATCCTGAGAGGTTTGCTAATGGAGTTGCAGGTGCGTGTAAGCTTCCACAAACTTACTTGGCATTTGGCATGGGGCCTCGGATTTGTGCAGGACAGAACTTTGCCACAATAGAATTGAAGATCGTCCTTGCTGTAATCCTCTCAAACTTCTCCTTCTCACTCTCTCCGAAGTATCGTCACTCCCCTGTGTTTAAAATTATCATACAGCCTGATGATGGAGTAAATCTAATTGTGAGGAAGGTCTGAAACTTGCATCTAGCTATGATAATAAACATTAGAAAAGCTCTACATGGTTGGTATATTTATGATACATAATTGAACATGGTTGTTTGGGTTTTGTGTATTTAATTTTTGTAATGTTTTTTTAGTGCAAAAGTCGGTTGTAGAAAAAGGATAAATTTCTTAAAATATTTCTACTATTTAGCTAATTGACTAACTCTATTTTTACTATTTACATATTATTCTAAAGTAGTTTCAAGTTTTTTGACGATTGTCATCTTAACGGAAATGATGAAATGTCAATTTTATCCTTCCGTTAAATCCAGATATCTACTACAGCTTGCCGAGGGAATAATGGTTCTTAAAACCGAACCGGTCAGGGGTCCGGTTACTAGGTCAAACGGTCCGACTGTTTGAACTGAATGCTCGGACCATCCTGACAAAAGAAAAAGAAAAAAATTTTCAAAAAAATCAAAACCGTTCGAATGGTTCAAACGATTAACTACCCGATTCAGCAGTTCGCTAACCAAAATCAACGGTTTTAGAAAAAACCGAGTTGATTTTGAGATGAGTTTCAGAAGGAAATCCCAAACCCAAAAATCAGCAACCCAGAAAAACCCAAATATAAACTTTTGTACCTCAGAATGGTCACTGGAGTCGGGACTAAACGCACGGTTCAAATTCGAGAGGTTTTCTCTATTGCCACTGCTGGACGACTTGGAGGACTCCTTTTGTCCGGGGAAGACATGACTACGGTAGATTGAAATGGGAGGGAACCAAAGGAGATGAAGATTCGTTTCAATTGATGAGGTTGATTTTATTGTAGCTGCAGCTATTATTGCGGCTATCCAGAAAAAAGAGGACATTCGTCTCTCGATGTTGACGCAACCTCTTTTTTCAACCTCAATACACGTCTCAATTTGCAAAGTAAACAGTTTGCACTGCTTTCCTGTATTATTTACAGAGTTTGAAGTTTGCTCTGCTTTCCTGTATTACTCTGGCTTGGTCTAAACTTCCGATGCATTGAACACATATATAGCATCCTTCTTTGCAGGGCCTCACGGGTGAGTTTGGGATGAGTTTTAGAAGGAAACCCAAACCCAGAAAACCCAAAAATCAGAACTCACTCTCTTTTTCCACGGGTGAGTTCGATGTAGCCATATCTAATCCGGCTACATCGAACCAAAGCCTTTCGAAATTCGAATCCATTCTAGAACGAGGACAGGATGTTCGTCCCTGAGCCATTAGAAGATTATCTGATGGTCTTTGTGGAGGATCAAATAGGGTAGGAAGAGACGAGGTCCTGGGTCGGGTACTGATTCCAATTATGGCAATGAAACGGATGATCGATTATAAGCCGGTGGTTTCAAATTGGCTTAGCCTTCACATGCATTACAACTTCACTGAATCCAAGGTTAAGGTTTGGTTCTCGTATTCATCTCTATATCTCACTTAACAGGGGATACCACATCCTGGAAGAATTGACGATATGCAACAATGACGAGGGACTGACTGTCAGAGAACACTACCCGACGCTCAATCTGGATCTTAGGAACGACAGGTGACACCGGCTGCTGATCCGGAGTAACGACATGAACAATCTCTTGGATTTCCTTGGAAACGACGGGGCTGTGGTCGAGATCTCCGGAAATGCCAACGTCACAAACCAGATTAGGAAGAAATCCCTCAGCATTCCTCCCTGTCTCCAAACCAGTGGCAGCAATTACAATGAAAATGGTCGTCCGAGCAACGTCTAACCGACGGAGGTCTTTCTAGGTGGAGCTCTCATCAAACGCCATCAGCAATTACAATGAAAATGGAAGCCACCGGTTAAATTATACGTTTCTCATGTGTATAGATTTTGACGAAATATTCATGGATACCAATGGCAGGGGTAGAGTTGGTCAATGGTTAGAAAACTTGGAGGTAATCTAAGACAAAATATAAAAATTAGTCAACTAACTAAATAGTAGGAATAGTTCAGGAAATTTTCCCAACAAAAAATTAAAGGCATTTCATTGAGTCGACACAAAAAGAAGTATGAACAAAATAAATAGTCAAAGCAATATCCTACATGTAAAAATTTGTTTTCATGTTCTTCATGATTCATTACATACAATATCTAAGATTTTTTTTCCTTTTTTTTAATCCTTTAGACCAAATTTTAGTTATAATAAGATTATTTCTTTCACCAAGAAGTGGAAAAGGAAGGAAAATGAAGCAATGCAAGAGAGTTTAAGCTTCTTTGCTTCTCTCCCTTGTTATATGTGAGGTTCTCCCGTTGATATTTCTTTCTTTCTCCAATACTTCTTATATCCTTTCTGCCTCCTCCTCCTTTTCTCTCTCTCTCTCTCATCTCTATCTCTCTAACTAGGTATATTGGCTAACGACTTACATATACCCTTGGGTTTTCAAAGCTACTTGTGTTTACTTTGTGGAGTGGCCTATTGCATGTTTTATCAATATATATGTCAAAAGCCTTAACAATGATGGAATGCATCAAAGCCAATTACTTTAATTTAGGACCATACATACATCCATGCTTCTACAACCAATGCCTCGGCGGCTTCACTCTAGGGAACTCTCACTCTAGTTGCAAGTAACCCTCTCCATGAAGGCTCACATTCTAGAAATAAGTAGCTCTTTCCCTATAGTGGCTTTCCCTTTGCTTCAAATAGCCCTTTCCATGGTAGCTTTCACTCTGCTCTAGGTAGTCCTTCTCCCAAGTAGCCCTCTTACTGTTTTGAACTTTGAGACGTGATGGTAGGCTTTGATACCAAATGTGAATGCTTGATCAATATGCCAGAAGCCTTAAGATTGATAGAACACATCAAGCCTAGCACTTTAACATTTAGGGGGACCATAATTGGCCCCACTTGACACAAATAAGCCCTTTATTATTGAAACATTTAGGGCCATTTTCATTTAATATCAATTTCATCTTATATTGTAAGGAAAATTCTTGATTAGTACCTTGTATTTTGGGCCTAGTGCATTTTGGTCCTTGAATTTTAAAATACAACAATTTAGTGCCCAAACTTTTAAAACGTGTCAATTTAGTACCTACTGTTAATCAGCCCATTAACCATCCATTAAGTGGCACTTGAAAAGACACAAATTCCCTTCAAGTGTCATCTAATTTTCTTTATCAACCATCTAAATGTTGATAAAAAATGAACAGTCATAAATCCTTGCCTCTTCTATTTAAGAAAGTTGGAGTCACCAAAATACCTTTTAAGACGTGACCCCAACTTTCTTGAATAGAAGAGGCAAGGATTTGGGATTGTTCATTTATTGTCAATGTTTGGATGGTTGATAAAGAAAATTAGATGACACTTGAAGGGCGTTTCTGTCTTTTCAAATGCAACTAAACAGCTGGTTAAGGTTGCTTAACGACAGCTACTCAATTGGCACGCTTTGAAAGTTCGGGTACTGAATTGTCGTACAAAGTTCGTGGACCAAAGTGGCACTAGGCCCAAAGTACAAGGTACTAATCAGGAATTTTCCCTATATTTTATCAAAATTTCAATTTCCCTTTATGATAAAAAAATACCCCTTGATGTGTTTAACAAGAGAGACTCATCTCAACTTTACTGCCAGCACCTCTGCTCTCAGCATTGAGTATAAACCACTTGGAAGACACACTGAGGTACGTCTTCGCTCAGGGAGAAGATAACTGAAAGTGCATGTCGGAAATTCATTGTTATCATTAATGAATCAAAGCTTGTAGGTGCATCAGTTTCGCCATGCGAACTGAGGTTGTTCCCATTTATTAGAAGTCCATAGTTGATCAGCAAAGATGTTTATGAGTACACGGGTTGATTAACAAAGCTCAAAACATGTGAGAAATGATGAGCCCTTCATCACAGACAATGCATACTATATTGTGTTGAAGGTTGCGACTTGTGGGTGTTGTCAAGAATGCAATGCTTCTTGACATGGCTGCCATTGTTATTGTCACATGCGTGCTTGGAATTGCTAGTATATCAGCCAGCCAAGACTCTTGTAAGGATGAATCAATGATGATATGCATAAATAAGGTTTGAATAAATGATGATATGCATCGAGTTCAGCCCATATTCTTTCTTTCTCTCTTCTATATTCTATTCGTTCATGGTATCAAATCCACTATGGCATAAAAAAACTCTTCGACAAGCACTCCCTCAATACCTATGTCTTCTAATACATTAACTGCCTATATTAAAACTCACTTGTGAAAATAAAGTTGCACGGTGAGCATAGTTTGTACTGTCTTTAATACTCATGAAATAGAAGGAATTGTGGATGGCACTCTCCCATGTCCACCCAAAGTGATTTCTTCTAGAGGTCAGCAACTTTTAAATGTTGAATACTCTACTTAAGTTAAACTCAATCAACCCATTGTGAATTGGATTATTTCCTCCATCACTAAGAACATTATCAATCAAGTTGTTGGTTTATAATCATCCAAGGAAGTCTAGAAGGCACTAAAAGAAGCCTTTGCATCTCCCACACCAGCTCGACTTCTCCAATAATGGATGCAACTTATGAACATCAAGAAAGGGTCCTCCCCATCACTGAATATATACAACAGAAGATAAAGAACATAGCCGAATAGTTGGTTGTAGCCTGTACACAACAAAGATCTCTTAAGCACTCTTGGTGGATTCAGATCCGACTACGATTCATTCATCACCTCGGTAACCACTACAATTGATTTTTCTTCTCTCACTATATCTAATTTATTTGGGAAACTATTGAATCATGAAGCTTGGTTATCTCAACCTCATTCTTCCATCATTGGTGAATCTTCCCCTATGAATGTTACAAGCAAACAATCCACTCCTCGACGTACCTCTAGTCCTACTCCCTCCACGGACCCCAATTAACAATGTAATTTCTTTTCTCAAAACAACCAAGGTTGTGGGTGGGGTAGAGGGTGCGATAGTCGAGGAAACTTCTAAATTTTTAGAAAGGAAATCCTAATGTAGTTTGACATCAACTCTGCAATAAACTCTATCAAAGTACTTTGCAATGGTACTGTCACTTTGATGTTTCATTCATGGGTGAACAATAATCAATTCTGGCTCAAGCTTTTCAGGAAAATAATTTTCAGCCCAATGCAGATTCAGCTTGGTATCCAGA